TCAGTGCAGATCTCCTCTGTCACATTTGCTGGTTATCGGTAATACGGAAAGTGCTGCCGTTAACCGGCAGCTGTATTTACTTTGTGATCTGCTGTGTCATTGGCAGGGGCGGACTGACAACTCATGGGGCCCCCAGGCAATAGGAGATCATGGGGCCCCTGTGTCCTCACCTACACTCAAACCACACCCAAAATAGCCTATGAAAGGTACCAGGGGCATCTCATGGGGCCCCCTATTGACCCAGGGCCCTCGGGCAGTGCCTGAGTACCTGAATGGTCAGTCTGGCCCTGGTCATTGGACACAGCTGGTCACATGGTAAAAGTCCGCTGTGATTGGCCTTTTACCTTGTCAAGTAATCAGCTGTGTCTGTAGGACACAGCGATCGCTGACAGTGCCGATTGCACGCCGCTGGGGGGGGGGCACGTTCCCGGAGGATGTCCACGGATTCCTTCCTAGAACTGGACAACCACGATGTAGCCATCTTTGGTTGGTGGTTGGCAAGCAGTAAAAGCAGAACACCAGAAAAAAATAACAAAATAAAACCAAACAGCCTATGAAGGGCTGGTTCACTCCTGAACGCGCACATGTGTTCCTGCGCGGTGCGTTTTTGACAGCCCATTCATTTCAGGGCGCTGCCAAATGCATAGGAATAGGCAGAAAGGTCAACAGGCGCAACTTTTAAAATCTATGCGGTTTGGTGGCCACAAAGCGTGCACATCTTCTAGATGCGTTTGGGGCGCTATTAACAATTAATGGTACTAACCAAGGGCAGCGCGTTCCTGTATTGTGTGGGAAATGCGCACATAACCGTGTGTTTCCTGCACCGCAATTGGTGTGAACAGGCCCCAAAAGATAAAATGACAAAACGTTTGCTGCAATTATTTTTATTATTATACAGGATTTATATATTATTATTATACAGGATTTATATAGCGCCAACAGTTTGCTCAGCACTTTACAATATAAAGGGAGACAATACAGTAACAATACAGTTCAATACAAGAGGGATAGGAGGGCCCTGATCCTGGGAGCTAACAATCTAAGAGGGAGGAGCTGGTGGTATAAAAGGTAATAACTGTGGGGGATGGACTGGTAGGAGGAATAGAAGATTCCATTATTAGCTGAGGGCAGGATAGGCTTCCCTGAAGAGAGGGTTTTCATAGATCGCCTAAAAGTGGGCAGAGTAGGCGATAGTCTGATAGATTGGGGTAGAGAATTCCAGAGGAAGGGGGAGGCTCTGGAGAAGTCCTGGAGACGAGCATGGGAGGAGGAGACAAGGGAGATAGAGAGCAGGAGGTCGTGGGAGGATATTCAACTTAGTCTAGATCAGGGGTCTCCAAACATTTTAAGAAAAGCTTACTGTCCTTAAGGCTTTAGAGGGTCCAGACTATGGTCAGTGGGAATAGAAAAAGCCCCGGCATCAGTGCCCCATCATTGGTTTTCACTGGAGGAATAGTATCCCATTGTTGATAGTAATGAGATGAATAATGCCCCATTGATGGTGTCAGTAGGAGGAATGGTGCTCCGTCATTGATGGAATAGTGCCCAAGGGCCAGATAAAGGCATGCAAAGGGCCACATCCAGCCCCCAGGCTGCAGTTTGGAGACCACCGGTCTAGAGATTTCCCCTGCAGTTTTTTTTCTGCAGCTAGGTGCTCTCTGTCTGATGGCCCGCATCATTCAACCCACTTCCTCTGAGCCCAGGTTGTGTCTTGGACCTGTCCCTTGTGTGTAACTTATTCAGTCCACTCATCCTGACACCATATTCTTACAGCCCAACTATGGGGTGCTCAGCCAGCGGTGATGTAGATATTGATGTAAGGGGGACACTTATGTAGGGGGGATTCTGATAGACTCCCTGGTATAAGCGAGGGGGATTTTGATGGAGACTCTGATGTAAGTGGGGGCTCTGATATAAAGGGGATTCTGATATTGACTCTAATGTAAGGGGGGCTCTTAGGAAGACTCTCATGTAAAGGAGGGCTCTGATGGGGAGTCTGATGTAAGGAAAGGCTCTTGAGTAAGGAGAACTCTGATGGGAACAACCCTGATGTACGGGAAGAGGGGGGGGGGGGGTAACTTTTTTTTTTCAGTCCAAATATTTGTAAAACATAGGATGTGGCCTTCATTGAGGAGTTTGGAGACCTAATGTTTCATTGTTTCACAACTTTCTTTTGTGGGCTTCTGGGCTTTATAAATGGAAATGCTTTTCTTGGTAAATCTCTTTATCTCAGCTTCTCAGTGTTTTATGTATGATCAGTATTTCTCAACCCATTGTGTATAATCACTGTTCATCAGCTTATTATCTACTTCTGTATACCATCCATTGTTTGCCATTTACCCCCCCCCCCCCCCCAGGATGTGCCAGATAACTGTGTGTAGTGACAATACCTCTTTCAATGGACATCTATACCATTTACAAACAATTCCTTATGTCTTTATAGCAAACTTCAAGTCACTGGGGAGGTAGACCTTGGTGTCTGATGTTTACAGATTCTATTCATAGCCCTACAGAACAGACAATGCAATCGTGTTTATCTTCTGCTTCTCTGCTAACAAGAAACAGGAACTTTATTACAGAGAAAAGACATAGAGTATCATAGAAGCAGATACAAACTTATAAACGCTGCCATCTACTGGTGGAAGAATATATCTCGACTGAATACTGATAGTGATGTAGCTGTACAAAAACACATTATTTATTAATTTCAGGTACTTATATAGCGCCGTCAATTTACACAGCACTTTACATAGATATTGTACATTCACATCAGTCCCTAACCCTCAAGGGGCGTACAATCTAAGGTCCCTAACCCTCAAGGGGTGTACAATCTAAGGTCCCTAACCCTCAAGGGGTGTACAATCTATCTAAGGGCCCTAACCCTCCCTCAAGGGGCGTACAATCTAAGGTCCCTAACCCTCAAGGGGTGTACAATCTAAGGTCCCTAACTTACATTCATACATACACAGGATCCAATTAACCTACTAGCATGTCTTTGGAGTGTGGGAGGGGGGGATGGGGGATGAGAGGGAGGAGGTTGAAAGAGAGGGAGGGGGGGAGGAGAGAGAGAGGGAAGAAAAAAGGGGGGGGGGGGGAGAGAGAGGAGAGTGAGAGAGAGGGGGGATGAGGGAGAGAGGGGAGATAAGAGGGAGAGGGGGGGATGAGAGAGGGGGGAGAGCGAGAGGGGGGATGAGGGAGAGAGGGGGGGGGGGGTGGGAGAGAGGGGGGATGAGGGTGAGAGAGGGGGAGTGAGAGAGGGGAGTGAGAGAGAGAGGGGGGGGGGATGAGGGGAGAGAGAGGGGGGGCATGAGAGAGAGAGGGGGGGATGGGGGAGAGAGAGGGGAGTGGGAGAGAGAGGGGGGGTGAGAGAGTGAGAGGGGGGTGAGAGAGGGGGGGTGAGGGAGAGAGGGGGATGAGAGGGGGGGGTGAGAGAGGGGGGATGAGGGAGAGGAGGGGGGATGGGAGAGAGAAGGGGGATGAGGGAGAGAGAAGGGGGGGATGAGGGAGAGAGAGGGGGATGAGGGAGAGAGGAGAGGATGAGGGAGAGGAGGAGAGGAGAGGAGAGAGGGGGGTGAGGGAAGAGGGGGATGAGGGAGAGAGGGGGGAAGGGATAGAGGGAGGATGAGAGAGAGGGGGGGATGAGAGAGAGGGGGGAAGGGATAAAGGGGGGATGAGATAGAGGGAGGATGAGAGAGAGAGGGGGGAAGGGAGAGAGAGGGGGGAAGGGAGATAAAGGGGGGATGAGAGAGAGGGAGGAATGAGAGAGAGAGAGGAGATGAGAGAGAGAGGGGGGGGTTTGAGAGAGAGAGAGAGAGAGGGGGGATGGGGGAGAGAGGGGGGATGAGAGAGAGGATGGGATGAGAGAGAGGGGGGAGTGATAAAGAAAGAGGGGGGAGGGAGAGTGAGAAAGAGGGGGGAAAGAGAGGGGGGGATGTGAGAGGGGGGTAATGAGAAAGAGGGGGATGAGAGAGAGGGGGGGTAAAGAGAGGCGGGTTTGAGGGAGAGAGAGGGTGGAGACCACTAACCCTGTCCCTATCTGCAGTCCCTTCTGCGCCCCCCTGTCCCAGTCCCTGTCTGTGGGTAGGTGTGTCGTGTGTGTGTGATGCCCGGTAACTTCCATGCCAGCAGTAGACGTATAGACGGACTGTCCTGGGTAGCAGTCCCTGGCTGCTTGTGCCTCTCGTCAGTCCTCATCCTCCGGGCCCCCGATCAGCCTGTCCACTGGGCTGTCGTCGTGGAGCACAGAGGAGGTTGGAGGACAAGTCCAGGCTCTGGAAGGTGTCGGGAATGCTACGCCAGCTACTGCTCGCCTCTTCAGGGGTCAGGAAGGCGGTGGGGGTCTTCTGTGTTCTATGGTTTGTTTACAGGTCTTGTCCCTCCCCCAGTCTGAGCTCTGCTGTACAAGCCCTTCAGGAGGCCAATACCAGGTCAGATTCAGGTACTGACACAGCATACATGGAGCAGTGTAGTAATGAATACAGAGCTGCATAATGTACAGTATGTGATATCTGCTTAGGCGTTCAGTTTGAACAGTTCTCATGTACTTGCTTTAGATAACTCTTCCTTAGAGATCTCCCTGTGAATAGAAGAACACAGAATCCTCCCTATTAGAGTCCTCAGGTCAGGGAGATATTAGCCAGATGTGCGGCTGTAACCTGTAATCACACTGCTGTGTTTACCAGATCTCCACCAGCAATGTCGCAATCTTCACAAACCTGTCATGTGCTGTTTAACCCAGGGGGCTCCGAACTCTTCAGTACAAGGGCCACAGCTTTACCAAAGTAAAAAGAAACATTTGTTTTATAAAGGAATGAATAAACTTTAAAATGTTACTTTACCCGGGCCCCTGCACTTACTATATAAACCCGGGCCCTGCATTCACTATATAAAACCCGGGGACTTTGCATTCACTAATAAACCCCGGACCCTGCATTCACTCTATAAACCCCGGACTTTGCATTCACTAAATAAACCCGGGACCCTGCATTCACTCTATAAATCCGGGACCCTGCATTCACTATATAAACCCGGCCCCCTGCATTCACTATATAAACCCGTGCCCTGCATTCACTATATAAACCCGGGACCCTGCATTCACTATAAATCCAGGACCCTGCATTCACTATATAAACCCGGCCCTGCATTCACTATATAAACCCGGGACCCTGCATTCACTATATAAACCCGGGCCCCTGCATTCACTATATAAACCCGGGACCCTGCATGCACTATATAAACCCGGGACTCTGCATTCACTATATAAACCCGGACCCTGCATTCACTCTATAAACCCGGGACCCTGCATTCACTATATAAACCCGGGACCCTGCATTCACTATATAATAATCCGGGCCCCTGCATTCACTATATAAACCAGGCCCCTGCATTCACTATATAAACCCGGGACCCTGCATTCACTATATAAACCCGGACCCTGCATTCACTCTATAAACCCGGGACCCTGCATTCACTCTATAAAACCCGGGACCCTGCATTCACTAAATAAACCCGGGACCCTGCATTCACTATATAAACCGGGCCCCTGCATTCACTATATAAACCCGGGACCCTGCATTCACTATATAAACCCGGGACCCTGCATTCACTATATAAACCCGGCCCCTGCATTCACTATATAAACCCGGGACCCTGCATGCACTATATAAACCCGGACCCTGCATTCACTATATAAGCCCGGGACCCTGCATTCACTATATAAACCCGGGCCCCTGCATTCACTATATAAGCCCGGGACCCTGCATTCACTATATAAATCCGGGACCCTGCATTCACTATACAACCCGGGCCCCTGCATTCACTATATAAGCCCAGGACCCTGCATTCACTATACAAACCCAGGACCCTGCATTCACTATATAAAGCCCAGGACCCTGCATTCACTATATAAACCCGGGACCCTGCATTCACTATATAAACCCGGGACCCTGCATTCACTATATAAACCCGGGACCCTGCATTCACTATATAAACCCCGGACCCTGCATTCACTATATAAACCCGGCCCCTGCATTCACTATATAAACCCGGGACCCTGCATTCACTATATAAACCCGGGCCCCTGCATTCACTATATAAAACCCGGACCCTGCATTCACTATATAAACCCGGCCCCCTGCATTCACTATTATAAACCCAGGCCCCTGCATTCACTAAATAAACCCGGGGACCCTGCATTCACTATATAAATCCGGGCCCCTGCATTCACTATATAAACCCGGGCCCCTGCATTCACTATATAAGCCCAGGACCCTGCATTCACTATATAAACCCGGACCCTGCATTCACTATACAAAACCAGGGACCCTGCATTCACTATATAAACCCGTCTCCTGCATTCACTATAAAACCCGGGCCCCTGCATTCACTATATAAACCCGGGACCCTGCATTCACTATATAAACCCGGGACCCTGCATTCACTATATAAACCCAAACCCTGCATTCACTATATAAACCCGGGCCCCTGCATTCACTATATAAACCCGGGACCCTGCATTCACTATATAAACCCAGGGACCCTGCATTCACTATATAAACCCGGGACCCTGCATTCACTATATACACCCGGGCCCCTGCATTCACTATATAAACCCGGGACCCTGCATTCACTATATAAACACCGGCCCCTGCATTCACTATATAAACCCGGGCCCCTGCAATTCACTATATAAACCCGGGCCCCTGCAATCACTATATAAACCCTGCATTCACTCACTATATAAACCCGGGACCCTGCATTCACTATATAAACCCGGGCCCCTGCATTCACTATATAAACCCGGGACCCTGCATTCACTATATAAACCCGGGCCCCTGCACTATATAAAACCCCGGGCCCTGCATTCACTATATAAACCCAGGACCCTGCATTCACTATAGAAACCCGGGACCCTGCATTCACTATATAACCCGGGACCCTGCATTCACTATATAAACTATTCACTATATAAACCCGGGACCCTGCATTCACTATATAAATCCGGGCCCCTGCATTCACTATATAAAAACACGGGACCCTGCACTCACTATATAAACCCGGACCCTGCATTCACTATATAAACCGGGCCCCTGCATTCACTATATAAACACGGGACCCTGCACTATAAACTCGACCCTGCATTCACTATATAAACCCGGGCCCCTGCATTCACTATATAAACCCGGACCCTGCATTCACTATATAAACCCGGGACCCTGCATTCACTATAAAAAACCGGGACCCTGCATTCACTATATACACCCGGGCCCCTGCATTCACTATATAAACACTATATAAACCCGGGCCCCTGCATTCACTATATAAACCCAGGACCCTGCATTCACTATATAAAGCCAGGCCCCTGCATTCACTATATAAACCCCGGACCCCTGCATTCACTATATAAACCCCGGACCCTGCATTCACTATATAAACCCCGGACCCTGCATTCACTATATAAACCCCGGACCAGGGCGGACTGACCATTTGGATACTCAGGCACAATGGGGCACACTACATCAGTGTCTCCATCAGGTCCCTCTGTACATTAGACCCCCCCCCCCCCTTACATCAGAGTTTCCTCTTACATCAGTGTCCCCATTACCTTGGTGTCCCCATCAGAGCCCCCCTTACATCATAGTGTCCTTTTAAATCATAGTCCCCATTACATCAGAGCCCCCCTTACATCAGAGATTCCTCTTACATCAGATTCCTAGCCACCAATGATGGAGTAAATGACAGTGAGGCAGGAGAAACCTGTGAAGGGGAGGGTAGAAGTGGACCTTTGGTGGCCTGAAATGAGACCTGTATGAGAGCACCGTGGGCCTACTCTGAGGATACCCCACTGACCCCAGCTGACAAAACCTGGTAGATTTGCAGATTTGGCCCGTGGGTCATAGTTTGGAAACCCCTGATTGGGGGATCGTTTGTCCCCTTCATCATTTCCATCAGTTTCACCTCTAAGGAAGACATTCATTTCAAGTCGAAAAACTGTTCCTTTGGTGCAAATTCATTTTCAGGGCAGCGGTTGACAGCTTCAGATGTCCTCAGAGTGATCGGTTGATACGGCCAGATTTCCCATAAGTGGTGTAGACCTAATGATAGCTGTGGACGATTTCCACTACTCTGGTTGATAGATCGTTCGACGTGTCAGCTCTGCTTCCTCCACAGAGGATCATGAATTAAAGCCAATATCCTCAAATCCTAAATGAAGGTTTTACATGGGATTAGAATGTTCCAGAAAGCTTTCTGTAGATTGCTTTCCTTCCCTATGGAAAGGTTTGATCTCCTGGTAAGACGTTGGGTTTGATCATTTCCCCGGTTCTCAGCAGTAATCCTGATAACAGAAATGGGAGTTCTGTATTGTCCCATCCAGGGGAGGACTGACCATTCGAGCACTTAGGCACTGCCCAAGGGCCCGGGGTCAGTAGGGGGCCCCATGAGATGCCACTGGTACCTTTCATTGGCTTTTTGACAGGTTTTTTTGGTTGTGGACGAGGACACAGGGGCCTCATGATCCCCTATTGCCCGGGGGCCCCATGAGTTGTCAGTCCACCCCTGGTTCCATCCCCCCTTATTGTCGGGGGACAGCCGGAAACAGCGAGATTTGGGCTTTTTCTTATCACGAGAAGCGGATATCTTGCGCAATCATTAGCCGCTGTTTGGACATCAGAATTCTCGCTGCTGTTTACAGCTAAACTGGCTTTGTATGCATAGCTTTAGTTATATGTACACAACCAACAAAGGGCTGGAACAACAGAGGAAAGAGAAGGGACCATGGAGGAAGGTGAGAGGACTGATTGTCACAGGGAACAATCCTTCTTTATATGTGAACCTAAGATAGAACTCCAGCCAAAAATAACAAGATAAAATGAATGGCCCAATAAAACATAGCATATCAAATCCAGTATTCACCTTCAATCCAAACATTTCCCCGCAGTACTTTTTCTGCCACTAGATGTCCTCATTCTGATGCCCAGCTTCCTCTGAGCCCAGGTTGTCCTGGACCTGCCTCATGCCCGTGACTGGACAGTAAAAGGAGATGCAGCACCTTGATGAGTTCATCTCTTTGTCACTTTATGTTCTCCTATCAGCATTCTCCTTGTCAGTGAATGGTGTTGCTTCTTTCTCTCACACTCCAGCCCTGCTGGTGGCTGATATTTTTATTACAGGTACTTACAGTTGTGCTCAAAAGTTTACATCCTCTGGAAGAAATTGTGAAATTTTGGCATTGATATAGAAAATATGACTGATCATGCCACAAAATGCTCTTTTATTGAAGGATGATGATCATAGGAAGCCATTTATTATCAAATAGTTGTTTGGCTCCTTTTTAAATCATAATGATAACAGAAATCACCGAAATGGCCCGGATCAGAAGTCTCCGCCCCCGGATCAGAAGTCTCCGCCCCCCGGATCAGAAGTCTCCCTCCCCTGGAATGTTTGGCCTTGGTACAGACACACACAAGGTGACACACACGGGTTACAATGCCAATTAGAGGTTAATGTCCCACATCTGTGGTTTGTTAAATTGCAATTAGTGTCAGTGTATAAATAGTCAATGAGTTTGTTGGCTCTTACTGACTAGGCTAGATACTGAGCCATGGGGATCAGAAAAGAACTGTCAAAAGTCCTGCGTAACAAGGTAATAGAACCTTATAAAGATGGAAAAGGACATGAAAAGATGTCCAAAAGCCTTGAATATGCCAATCAGTACTGTTAAATCACCTATTAAGAAGTGGAAAGTTCGGGGATTTCTTGATACCAAGCCAAGGTCAGGTAGACCAAGAAAGATTGCAGCCACAACTTACAGAAGAATTGTTCGGGATACAAAGGGAAACCCATAGATAACCACAAGAATAATACAGGCTGCTCTGAAAAAAGACAGTGTGGTTGTTTTGAAGGCGCACAATATGATGACACTTGAACAAAAATTAGCTGCATGGTGGAGGTGCCAGAAAGAAGCCTTTACTGCATCAAGGACACAAAAAGGCCCGGTAAGGCATGTCAAGGTGTTTTCAGGCATATTGTAACCGGGATTTATTGTGTCATTGATGCAGTAAAAGCCTCTTTCTGGCACCTCGACCAAACAGCTTATTTTTGTTCAAGTATCACCGTATTGTGCTCCTTAAAAACAAACACACTATATGTTTCCAGAGCAGCCTGTTTTTATTTTGAGGTTGCCTGTGGGGTTTTTTCTTTGAATCAATTCTGGCAGTTGTGGCTGCAATCTTTCATTGTCTACCTGACCTTGGCTTGGTATCAAGAGATCCCCGAACTTTCCACTTCTTAATAGGTGATTGAACAGTACTGATTGGCATATTCAAGGCTTTGGACATCTTTTTATGTCCTTTTCCATCTTTAACAGTCCTTGTTATGCAGGACTTTTGACAGTTCTGTTCTGATCCCCATGGCTCAGTATCTAGCCTAGTCAGTGCTTCCATGTAAGAGCCAACAAACTCATTGACTATTTATACACTGACACTAATTGCAATTTAACAAGCCACAGATGTGGGACATTAACCTCTAATTGGCATTGTAACCCGTGTGTGTCACCTTGTGTGTCTGTACCAAGGCCAAACATTCCAGGGGGCGGAGACTTCTGATCCGGGGTGCGGAGACTTCTGATTCGGGCCATTTGGGTGATTTCTGTTATCATTATGATTTAAAAAGGAGCCAAACAACTATTTGATAATAAATGGCTTCATATGATCATCATCCTTCAAAAAAAAAAAATTTTTTTGTCATGATCAGTCATATTTTCAATATCAATGCCAAAATTTCACAATTTCTCCCAGGGTATGCAAACTTTTGAGCACAACTGTATATAGCGTCGTCAATTTAAACAGCACTTTACATATATATTGTTCATTCACATCAGTCCCTAACCGTCAAGGGGGGTACAATCTAAGGTCCCTAACTCACATTCATACATACACATACTAGGGACAATTTAGACAGGAGCCAATTCACCTACCAGCATGTCTTTGGAGTGTGGGAGGAAATCGGAGTACCTGTACAACAAAGCTATAGGAGGGGCCTCCATCCACTACAGACTGCCTGCAGAAAACTACAGGAGGGGGCAGAGACAAGACCAGTAAGAGATTCCTTTATGCCTACAGGGC